CGTAAGCATGGTGTTTTTTTTTTTTTTTGTTTAGAAACGTTGCTACAAGGTAAGACGTTTCCTGGAACAATATCAATTTTTTCTATTTGGTACCAATGCTCTAGGAAATGTTTTCATCAATTGTACCTATTATCCAGTGCCACGCCATGTCCCTATCACTGCCACCTCATGTCCCTGTTAGTACTAATGAGCTGTAGTTCTAAGAAACACCAAATTCGGCATTGTTCCAAACCATGCCTTCTCGATTTTTAAGATGCGGCTTAGAGCACCGTTTTTTTATGAAAAACGGTTCCAAACAAACAGACATTTCTTGGAGTACTGTTTTTTCCAATGTGGCGCTGATGTGTCACCATTTTCTGGAACAACGACAACGATGCCAAACAGATGCTAGATCACTGCTTTCTGAAGTGCCCTATTATGAAACCAATGTGGTTCAGTGCTGCCACGTACATCACTAAATATGGAGTCACAACCCAATTGGTCCCTCAATACGTGGATGGTGAAATGGTTGGAAATAGATTCTGGGAACACCTACTTCTTTCTTAAGGTTATATTTGGTTTGAAAGAAAAAGTAAGAAAAGGTAGGGAAACCTTTACAAAACTTGTATAGGTTTCCCTTCCTTTCCCTACTTTTTCCCTCAAACCAAACATAGCCTAAGTGTGCTATTGTAACCTTAGCACTCATGGAAATGGCGGTGCAAAATGGTATTTGAGGGGAAATCTTTTAGACCTTTGGGATGTCATTGGATCTGCCAACGCACAAATTAATGAGCTAATAAGCCATCTTCCTTTTTTCCAGCTCAAGGCCAGGTGATTACTAGTACAAAGCCCAGAACGTTCTCGCTGGGAACCACCAGCACCGGAAGAAGGCGTTCTTCAAATTAACATTGATGGCTCCTCTAATGTTGGCAAGGCGGGCACTGGTATAGTCATCCGGAGCTCCTTGGCCATGGGTACATACCTTCATCTTCATGTATGGCAAAGTTGTTAAACTTCCTCTTGTTTCAGCTAAAGTAGTGGAATCCTGTGCTCTTCTTCATGCCCTCTGATTTTCCTTAGAGATTGGTTTAATGAAAATTGTCATTGAAAGTGATTGCCTCTCTAGTTCAACTTCTGTTGACAGGAAAAAATCCGCCATGGTGCATCTCTATTGTAGATGACTGCAGAAGTTTGATGATTGCCTATTCTTGTTCATCCGTAGGCTCAGTTTGGAAGGAATATAAATGTAAATTTGTAGAGTGTAAAACCTTATATTTTGTATTATTTTGTATGTAATTGCTCTGTACATATTTGCATTTATACTTCTTTCAAACTGAGCCATAGGGAAGCTAATAGGGTGGCGCATTGCATTGCGAAGTTTACTTTCTCTTTACAAACCATCTGTACCTGGTCTTCTGAGCATTTGTTCTTGCACGATATTATTGTAAACGATACTTCTTTTTGAATGGAATTAGATGATTTACTATTATAATAATAATAATAATAATAATAATAAGATTGACTAATTATTCAATGTCGCCTCTTTCGTCAGTGGCAAACATGGGTGGCTAGATCATTTTCCCTTCAAGTCGACAATTGCTTACCATCACCCGAGATCACATCTATACCGTACAAACGATCCATATGCACAGATGCACATCTCAAGCATTGGGAATATCTCTAAAAATTGTCAGTGGGAGATGTTCTCACTACACTGTTGGAATATGCTGTGATACATTTGTGGGGCATATATGTGAATTTCCATCATCCAAACTATTGAGCCTTAACCAATGGGTTCGATTTTTATTCATGGGTAAAACAGTAAAAAACTAAACCTCCCTTAAGATTGAGTTCAGCTTCGGTTAGGGCAAATCTGTACTTATACCTTTTCAATAACCTTTTGTAACATTAAAAATATCTACCCATAAAATAAAGCACATAAGTAAAGAAATATTTCTAATACAAAGCTGTAAAAGTTGTTTGAATGGGTTTTGCCCTAACTGAACTCTGACTCATTGATGTTTATGTTGCCATTCCGTGCAGATCTGTTTGGAGTGACATGAGGTGTAGTTTAATTTCTTTTAAAACCCAACCTTGCCCTCTATTTATTTCCTCCTAATTGCCTGTCATTAAACCAGCCTCCTACATAGGGCCAAGATAATAAAATCATTTTTTATGATAGGTTAACATTAGAGTGAATATAAAATCATTTTTTATGAATTAAAAAATACATAATCGATCTGTTTTTAGAATATAAAAGCAGTACTAACAAAATCTGTTCTATTGTTTCGAGAAATTATTCTGCTAGGCAAAATCAAACAATCAAATATATAATTCATTATTGCAATGTAGTTTGCAGGCTGTAGCATTAAATTTAAAGGTCTAGTTCGTTTGAAAACTTTGGTTATGGGACTCTTGTCATGTTTATCATCTTGTTGGAAGAAACAAGAAAGGAAAAAGCTTAAGCCATTGGAGTAGGGGTGAGCATTCAGTTTATTCGGTTAAAAACTGAATCAAATAAATCGAAATTTTAAAAATCGAACTGAAAAAATAAAAACCGAAACCGAATTTTAGAAAAACCAAAATAATCGAAACTGAAATTTTTGGTTCAGTTTTTTGTTATTTCATTTAAAACCGAACTTTAATAATATATTTTATATAACATATAGTATATATTATAAAATATATATTATGAAATCAAATTTCATTATATTAATGTATTATTATATAAATATATATAATATAATATATTACATGTTGCATATTATATATTATAGGGTAAATTATAGATAGGTACCCTGAACTTTTAAAAATAGGCACTTGGGTCCATCCATTAGTATCCTGTCAGTTAAACATTACATAATGCCAAAAATACCCTTCTCATATATTTTTAAGACCATTCTTAGGTACTCAAATTTCCCCACAATCACGTTCTCACATGGACAACAAATAACATATTCAAATTTTCTGACGATGGCATTCACCTGTGATGATTTTACATTGTAGAATGATCTCAAAAATACACAATTAGGGTATTTTTTACATTATGTAATGTTTAAATAACGGAATACTAACGTATGGACCCAATTGTCTATTTTTGAAAGTTCAGGGTACTCAAGTGTTACAATTGAAAGTTTATGGTACCTATTTGTCACCCCCCAAAGTATAGGGTACCTATTTGTAATTTACCCTATATTATATGTTACATATTATATATCAAAGTTTGATTTATTCGGTTAACCAAATTTATAATTCTAAAAACTGAAACCGAAATCAAATATTAAAACACTGAATTAACCAAACGAAAAAAAACCGAAACCGAAATTTTAAATTTGGTTTTTCAATTCTAACTGAATAATGCTCACCTACATTGGAGTTGAAGATGGAGCACCTTTGGAAAGAAAGCAAAAACTAAAAATCTAAAAAAAAAAACACTAGTTGCAACAAAAATCTAACCTTGCATGACCTACGCCCCCATGGGTCATGCAAAAAGCTTTCCACAGCACCGCAGATCCAAAACATTGCATTCTTCCCCTCTAAGAGACCAGTGAAAATATGATGCATGTAAGTGTTTTCACAATGTTTTAGCAAAATTAGGGGTAATCAAATCATGGGCTCTTTTTTTAAACTGAATCAGTACTATCTGTTTTTGAAAAACTAAAAATATAACTGAAACCAATCGGTTAATTTAATTTGATTGTTCGATTTAGTTTTCTTTGATTTATCGGTATCTCATGTTGACTATATATCATAAATGAAATATATATATATATATATTATATTATAAATAGATTGGATATACCAATCAGTTTTGTTAACCAGATTTTTTCGGTCCGGTTTTTCCAATTCAATTCAGTTTTTTTTTTTTTTTGGTTGAACACCCCTAAGCAAAATCAAGTCAAAGAGTTATATTAGCGTTTTCTTTTTTTTTTTTTTTTCTTAGAAGAAAACTAGTGAGAACAGCAGGTGATCTCTATCTTCAAGCCCTATATATATTCTCCTTGCATTTTATCTTTTGTTGTCCAATGAACCTTTTACAGTTCTTCAAGATGTTCTATTTTTCCTTTAATTCATATAAAAAACAAAGTTCTAAAGCTTGGATTTACTTCACTTGTTTAAACTTGACTTTGATAAAAATAAACAAGAAAAATCCTTTTTTAGGGAGAATGACCAATCAGCTCAGATCAGAATTTTATAGCTCCATAGTACAGGGAAAATGCATCCTAACCGTGAATTGATGTTAAATTCATGAGCATGATGTAATTTATAGGGAGAGAGGGCAAGTAAATAGTAATAGGAGGGGCTGGAATTCAGAATTTTGCATTGGATGTATCCACACTTTTCCCTTTTTTTTACAATTCTAATAATTAAATACCTCATTCACAGAGTCATCCCGTCTTTTTTCCTTGGATTACAATTTTGGGTGGTTTTCTTTAAAAATTAAAATAATAATGAAGGACAACAAGATAATCTCATCGATTGTTAGGTCAAACCCCGAAGAGGGGAGACAAGATTTATTGTTATCCCAATTTTGGGTTTTGTAGTCGTTGATTAAGGAGATAGATAACGTTGCTTGAGAGCCTCACTGTTTGATAAAAAAAACCCTAAAATTATAAAATCCCATCCAATGGTTTTGGCTTTTGGGAGACAAGATTTATTGTTATCTTAAGAGAAGACGCCAGTTTTCTCCTTTTCAATTCCTTAAGACATCTGCCATTCCGTCCCGGTTTTCTCAAATGGTTAAATTAGCAAACAAGATTTACTGGTACGACTTCCAATTTCCAATGCATGCTGATTCATTGTAGTTGTCCATTTGCACCCAACTTGCATTAAAACAACCATCACTCATTTATTAAGCCAGGAGTTTTACCAATAAAGAAAGACTCTCAGACAGACGATTCGACTCAAAGCTCATCGCTCAATCATGGACTCATGGTGTATCTCCTTCGTTATGAAATAAGAATCCTTTAAGCTTCTTGAATCACACCATCCAAGACGAGAGCACTGTCCTGTAATCTATATATTTCTCTATCAAGACAGTCAAAATGCAGAACCCTCATAAATTATTTCCTGAAATAAGGTCATCTGCTGCTCAAGACCCAGCCTTCTTCTCTCCAGAGCTCCTCTCCTCCCCCCTCCCTACCAACTCCTTTTTCCAAAACTTTGTTCTTAAGTCTGGGGACGGGATAAAAAAGGATGACCCAGACGAACAGAAGAGAAGCCATCCGGAATATATACACCCTTATCTTATCAAACCCTTTTCTTCATCCCTCGCTTTCTGTTATCCTTCCCTTCAATCAAGTCGTGAATTCGTCAAACAAGACTTCGCTCCTGATCTCATCATCTCTTCATCACCCTCCCTAAACCAGAACATTAAGAACAGTTACGAACCCAAGCACCATGTCATCTCGTCTTTCAACGACTTAAGCGTCACCTTAGACCTCCCACCTGACCTACGTTTCTTCCTTGTTCGTGGCAGCCCTTTTTTAACTTGCAAAACCACCAATCCAACTGGTCTTTCCATCCAAATCAACAACGGATTCGAGCCCCCGCAACCCAATTCATCGCGCACAAAGCATACAATTCGACTCCGAGGCAATAAGCAGACTTGGATTTGCTACTCCTCATCCCCAATTGAGCTGACCTACAACGATTCTTCTATCACCGTTGAAAGCTTCACGGGGATAATTCGTTTCGCAATTTTGCTGAATCCACATCATGAAAACATCCTTGATCGTTTTAGTGCTTGCTACCCAGTTTCTGGATGCGCATTGTTTTCCAAACCCTTTTGGTTGGAGTACGCATGGCAGAAGAAGGGACAAGGAGACTTGCTCATTCTTGCGCACCCTCTCCATCTCAAGCTCCTCGACGTGAATGACCCAAAGATCACCCTCTTGCGAGAATTCAAGTATGACAGCATCGACGGAGAGCTGATCGGGGTTGTGGGAGATTCGTGGATCATGAAAGCAGAGCCAATTTCTCCGACCTGGCACTCCATTAGAAGCACCAAAAAGAAATCCTGCCGGAGCTTCCCAGAAGAAATTAAATCAGCCCTCCACAAGGATATTGAACAGCTGAATACCAACAAACCTTCCTCCACTACTGTCGACTTTGGGAAGGTAATTGCGAGGGCAGCCAGATTGGCACTGATTGCCGAAGAGGTGATGCCCGACGATTCTTTGTGTGGGGAGATTATTGATGCGGTGAAGGATTACCTAGACCGGTGGATTGGCTTGTGGTTAAGTGGGGAACACGCTGAGAATGGGTTTGGATACGAGACCAAATGGAAGGGAATCACCAGTAAAAATGGGGCCATAGACGGTAGCAGAGAAAATGGGTTCGGTATATACAACGATCGTCATTTCCAGCTGGGTTACTTCATATATGCCATTGCAGTGCTTGCGAAATTAAAGCCAGAGTTGGGGAGACAGTACAGGATTCAGGCATATGGAATAATGGAGGATATCATGACTCTGGGTCGCCGTTCAAGCGCAGCATACCCACGTCTGAGGTGCTTCGATGCGTGGAAGTTGCACTCGTGGGCCGCGGGACTGTATGGATGGGAACATGGACGAAACCAGAAAAGCCCCAGTGAGGCGGTGAATGCTTATTACTCGGCCGCACTCATGGGAAAAAGCTATGGGGACACTAAACTCGAACACCTTGGAATGACTCTAGCGGCATTCGAGATCCAAGCAGCAAAGACATGGTGGCACGTAAGAGCGGAGGAGGGGATCTACAGTGAAGAATTCGCAGAGGAAAATAGGGTGTTGGGACGTGCTTGGTCTAGCAAACGGGACAACAAGATATGGAACTTTCCGTCGAAGAGGAGGGTGGTTAAGGTGGGAGTGCAAGTGATGCCGTTAACGCCTATAACTGAAGTTTTGTTTCCTGATGTGGGTTTTGTGGGAAAAATGGTGGAATGGGCTTTGACCGCCCTGGACAAGGAGGGTGACGATGACAAATGGAAGGGGTTTGTGTATGCTATGGAAGGGGTTTACGATAAGGAACGCGCTTTGGATAAGATTAGAAGATTGAAAGAGTTTGAGAAGGGGAGCTCCCTATCGAATTTGCTTTGGTGGATCCACACAAGACATGATTGATAGGAGTGACAATTGAGTATAATGTACCTAGCTGGTAGTTCCATTCCATATTACTTAATTTGTCAAAATGTTGAGGCACATCAAACTAAATTAAATTCTGGTGAAGGTTATTTTTTACTTGAGATTGAGAATTCTAAGGTGTGGAATAGGGTCATTCTCTTGCTGTCTACCGACTTGAACTTTGAACTTTCGAACATTTAGGGACACATACAATCTTCACCACAAAGAGGCGATAAAGGAAATGGTAATATTAAGAGGGTTATTCAGAATATAAATGACAATGCAAACAAATCAAGTTCAGTGGTTTTGTGCCACTGTAGCAAGCCCGGCTGATGCATGGGCCAGCACGATTATTCTTTTTTTTTTAATAAAAAATTAAATATCTATATATTTATACTATCGCAGCAGCGCCCCGTGTAATGCACTGGCTTTATTAAATAAAACGGGATCCTTGTGACATTTTCAATTGGGCAAAGCCAAATTGATTCTAACTCAAACATTATTGTTTGGTTATGTATTGTTAGATAATTTTGTATTAATTTTTTATTGATGTTTATTAATTTTTATTATGATTAGATAAATTTGACTCGACTTTTATTGATTTATATATATTTAGATTTCATTTATTTTAAATGGAATTTAAATATAGGTGTACAATACAAACAATAATTTCAAATTAAATGATTAATTCAAAACCAAGGTTTTCGAACGACTGTTGACCTAGACGGTTGGACCATTCGGCCCGGGAACCATCTAGGCAATTGGTTCCATTTTACTCCTAATATTTGGAAGTCCAAATATTTGGAGTAAGTGTAACTCTAGAATTAAGATTTGACAGAGTACAAATTAAATCTTGTTTATATAAATAAAAAAAAAATTAAAGCATCTACTCTTATAGTATTTCTAAAAACTTTTTCTAAATTGATGATTTACATATTGTTCTAAATATTTTTCAAGTATAGGATTTTCAACCAATAAAAATTTCCCTACCCCATAATTTAAAACACAATTTTACATTCTTAAATCAAAAATTTTATTCAAATGGACATAATCACATAACTAATTTTAAGTTTAATATTAGGTCGGGCCGGGCTATTTTGACAAAACCCGAGCCCGGCTCGAATTTATTGCGGGCCGGGCTTTTTGGCCCGAATTTAAGCCCGCGGGCCTATAAGCATGTTCAAGCCCGCGGGCCTATAAGCATTTTCCCTTGATTAAATGGTGAGCATCATTATTGGCCAATCTAGGAGCAAACTGTAGTGAACACATTAATTAGAAATCTTTTCAAGATATGCAATCAGCAAGCAGATAAGCACAACCATCATTGAGGAGACAAATTCGTCTCTAAGGAGCTTTTATGGTGGTGTTTGGCATCGATGTTGTTTTCTGAGAAAAACGGCACCACATAGGCGCCACATCAAAAAAGTGATACTTCAGAAAACAATCTCTTATTTGGTGTCGTTTTTCTAAAAAAACATTGCTCCAGAGCACGCCTTGGAAATTAGGAAAGTGTGATCTAAAGAAATCCTAAATTCAATGCTTTCTTAAAAAACAGCCTATTGTTGCCAATGGTACAATGATATAACATCATCTTGGGCGTTGGATAATATAGACCAATACTGAAAATGGTTCTATAATACTGGTATCAAACAAAACCAGCCTATGTGGCAACATTGATGTCAAACAAAAAAAGGAGTGTTTTCTAAATACAACACATTTTCACACCTTTGAAGCAACCGCATCGATGCCAAACACCTACTATAACATTCAACTAGCAGAGAACCATACGATGCACGGGAAAATCTGAAAGATTTAGTAATTTTATTTTTTATTTAATGTTGATTTATAAAAAATAATTATTGTTAATTGAACATGAACAAATATTTTTTAATAAATTTAGTTTTATTAATAATTTGTTATAATTTTAATATTTATTATTTTAAATGAAATTTTGATTAATTTTAAATAAATAAAAATAATTATAAAACTTAACATTTTTATTAATTCCACTAATAATTAACAATTATATAGGAATGACAATGGGGTGGGTTTAGGGCAGGGCACCGGGCACCCCATCCCTTTCCTTGCCCCATAGTTAAGACACTCTACCCCATCCCCACTATCATGCCACACGGGTTCAAGGCAAGGTAACCACTCCTCAATGTCAAGCAAGTTTAGGGGTAGCACCCTACTCCTCATCAAGGATGGAGAATCCTCAAATTTCCCTACCCCATCCCCAATATTGGGCAGGTTCAAGTAGAGGTATAAATTGGGTCATGCTGGGTCGACACGACACGACCCGCATGTGGCAGTGCAAGTCGTGTCGTGCTGGCCCACAAGGCGTCCTGGGCCGTGCCTCCCTCCGCTAGGATAATTTGGGGGGTCAATTCGGCACGACCCACATGGCTCGAGCCCGCACAGGCTCGTGCCATGCCGTGGGTCAGGCTGGTCCATGGGTTGGGCCTTGGGCCAGGCCATGCCGCATACCAAACCAAGCTCAAGGCAAGGCACCCACTCCCCGTCCAAGGTTTTTAAAATTGGACCGGATAGGGAACCGTTCTGGGATCAAATGGTCTGACTGTTCGGTCCGAATGGATGACCCGCTCTAACAAAAAAAGGCCAAAAACTATTGTCCGGGTTGACGATTTGACCGCCCAGGTTAGCGGTTCGCTAACCAAATAAACGGTTTTTTGACAAAAAGTGGTTTTGAGGTGAAACGGTGTCCAGTTCCCAATTTTTTCGGTCTAACCATCTAGTTTCATCCAATTTTGAAAACACTATCCCCGTCAACCCAAAATTCAATTTGATGATAGAAATGATCAAAATGATATATTAAGTATCAATCACATGGTAAATTTCTAAAAGTAGACTAAATTGTCTTTAATAATCAAAAATATAATTTTATGAAAATTTTGGAAAATTTATTGTACTTATATAATTTTGAAAATTTTTTCAAATTTATTTAAATTTTTATTAAATAATTTATTTTCTTTTTAAATGGTTTACTTATAAAATTATACTAATTTATCTTATAATTTCTAATATAAACTAACCAATAATTTTCTTTTTCCAATATTATACTGATTTATCTTAATAGTTTTTTTAATTATTTGTTCAAATTATAGTTTTCCATTTCCCACAGTCATTTATCTTTAATAATTTTCACTAATTTGCAATGAAAATTATATAATTTTTCAACGGTTTTCCAAAATCTTTAAAATGTAATAAATTTTCCTAAAATTTTCAAAATATTCTAATAATTTTAAATAATTATTTAATGCATTTTAAATAAACTTGCAAATACTTTATATCTTTTAATTTCAAAAATGTTATTTTACAAAAATGTAGTTTTATGAAAATTTTTGAAAAATTTATTACATTTGTGTAACTATGTGGATTTATTGAATTTTTTTTTAATTGTTATTAAATATATTTTTTTATTTGGTAGTTTACTAACAAAATTACACTAATTTATCTTTTATTTTTCAATTTAAATTAATTAATAATTTCATTTTCTAACATTATAGTATTTTGTTCCCACATATGTATTTGGTTATTAATTATAATAATAACAATAACTAAATTTTTATACTTTTTGATAATTGTTAAATATAATTCTCAATTTTATAGAAATTAGTTAAAGAGTTTTCAATTTCTATAAAATATTGTTAATGAGTTAATTAATAATAATATTTATTAATTTTTGGTAATTTACTAATCATACTAATAAGAATATTTAATTTTTGGTAATTTACTAACCGTATTTATTAACTTTTGGTAATAACACTATTTAATACTCATTGAATATGAGTGAGATTAAATATTAATCGTATTTAACTATTTATTAATTAATATGAATATTTTAAATGATGGAGAGTAGATATAAATTGGGGGGATGAATTTTAGGAATTGATTAGGGAGTGGGGCGACATAATACTTTCCTATTGGTTTAAATGAGATGCCTTAGGAAAGAGATTATATGAATATTTTTAGGTAGTTGGGTGACATGGCTTAATGGGAGTGGTGGGGAGGAGAGAGGAGAGAAAGTCAAAGAGAATGCAGGGTGGGGATAATGGAGCAAGGAGAGGCATGGTGACGAGGACCCGTGCTTTGTTAAGCGAAAGTTAAACAATAACCCAAATTGATACAACTCGAGTTGGTGGCTTTTCGCTAATGGTCAATTGGTTTTGAGTGACAAATTATGAACTTGACCAGATCGATTTGGTTGTTTTGAACACTCTTAATTTCAACTAAATTTATAGGCTAATATCTAATAAATAACAATAGTTTAATCTCCAATAATTTTTAAAAAATTATAGCAAATGTACACAACCATTGAAAATAAGTTTATAATGAAAATATAATAGATATAATAAAAATACAATAATTACAAAAATATTATAAATACTAAAAATATACTAAATTAGTCAATAAATAGTTTAATCGCTAATAAATATACTAAAATATAATAGATATATAGCTATTTGTAATGTTTTTTTTAAGATTTTTAGTTATTGAAATATTTAAATAATATTTTATTTTTTAATATTTAATTTTTATTATTTGAATAACATTTAAATTGAATAATTCATAAAATTATAATTTATATTGTTACTACATAATTTCATGATGAATTTTGTAAAAATATTGATTTATTAATAATCTGAATATTATTAAATCTATTGATTTTTTGTGTTTTGAATAGATATTTTAAATATGTATAATTTCATTATAACATTTAAATAGTTCTGAATTTTTCTTTTTAATTCAAGCTTTCTTTAAATAGATATAGATAAAAAGTGGGGGAGTGGATAAATAGGAATTAGAGATAGTTTAGGAGATAATCTCTCTACTAAATTAGAGATAATTTAAGAGATAAATGAAAATTTGAAATAACTGAGGAGATAAATAGGAATTAGAAACAATTTAGAAAAAAATGGGGAAAAGTTGTCACTTGACTAAACATTAGAAAAACAAATCCGTATGACTGCTGATATGGAAGGACCAATTTTAATATATATATATATATATATATCTAGATATATAGATATATAGATGATGAGAATCCCAGGGTCGTTGATCTTTTTAAGTTAACTATACATCAACAGCTATATTATGTCATTTAAAGCATCACCTCCCACCACTAAACTTTGTAAAAAGATTGGTCCACTTGATATATAGTACACTGCATGTCTGCAGCCTTGTCGATTAAAAATTTATAATATAAAACCATCATTTTATTCAGAATCATTCTAATAAAAAAAATAGAAATAAATCTCTCCAGTTGCTTGTGTGACGAGATTTATTTCTCCAGTTTCAATGAATCTTTAACTGGAGAGATTTAATACAGAAAAATTGAAATAAATCTCTCCATGTTTGAAAGCATCTCTCAACCAAAAACAAAAATCCATATTTGAAAGCATCTTTAACTTGATAATATATGAACTAACGATTACAAAAATAAATTAATTAAAAGGAAAAAAAATGTAAATTTTCTTTGTTACCCACGCCATAGCAATCGGGGACTAAGCCCACGTGAATACCTTATAAAAAAAACCCACTTGAATATGAATAAATGCCAGTTTTTTTTTTTTTTTAAGCCATGAATAAATGCCAGTTGATTGGTTACCACTTACCACTTACCACTTACCAAATGTATGATACTGGCTGATCGGTTATCGGGTACGGGGTAACAAGTCGGGCTCCGATCTCTCCATCAGATCCGGTTAAATATGTTACCTTTTTATGTTTTAACCACGATATATGTCGGAGAAGAAAAAAAGATCGTTGCTCTTAATCTCTTATTCCTGTGTCTCATCTCTCAGTCTATTGTCATCTCGATTAGTCTCATAAGACCGCCGGTGACGCGAAAAGCAGCCTAGCAACCGTCGCGTTTTCATTCAAAGGAAAAGTAGAAGCTGCAATGGCTGATGTGATTGCCCAATTCCTCAGGGCCAAATTTCTTGAAAGCCTTGAAGAACATGGACAAACCAGATTTGCCCTCCACTCCCAACTTGAACAACTAAAGAGTTTACTTCCGAGTCGATCTTTGTCCGCGGACGAACAGGCTAACTTTATCAATATACTTTACGATCTCAATGAAGCATTGACTGAATGCCGTATGCTGTGGAACAATCACAGATATTATCATTCCCTCAAGGCAATCCTACTTGTTCACGAAACTAAAAGGAGATTGGCTGACATCAAGAAAAGGCTCAAGGGATTGAATGGGGGTGCCATCAGCAGCAGCAGATCAGACGATCAGAACCAAGCAAGAAGACTGTCCGATTGTTCGTGGTCTATCGATACATCTAAGGTTCATGGCTTTGATGAAAATTTTAGGCAATTGAAGAACTTACTTCTCCAAGAAGGGAGTGATGATGGTGGGTTCAAGGCGGTTGGCATTGTGGGGATGTGTGGCATTGGTAAAAGTACGCTTGCGCGATTGATCTTCAACAGTGAGGAAGTAAAAAAGAACTTCTGTCCCAGGCTCTGGATATGCGTATCAGGAAGATCTCCCAAAGAGATTGTGGAGAGGATGTTAGTGGATCTAGGAGTGGAAGATGAGATTATTAAGTCAATTATTAACAGTAATGACCTCCATGGCCTACTTTTCAGTCTTTACCTGCAGTTGGTTGGGAAGAAGTATCTGGTAGTGTTTGATGGCGTCTGGGGCATAGATGAGTGGTACGAACAGTTGCAACTGAATTCCGGGTTGCCTGATCAAGACGATAAATGGGGTGAACATCTCCGGAATGGATTGCCAAAGCAGAGCGGGGGTCGAGTTGTCGTCACAGGTAGACTTAAAGATGCAGTAAAGAGGATGGTTGGTGAGGAAAACTTGCTTTGCCTTTCCACTCTCGATAAGCAGTTTTGCAATTCGATATTCACAGACTCTGCTGAGGAATATGCCGATGATCTCATTTTGGTGAATATGAAGGCGGAAGTTGCAGAGAAGTCTGCAGGGCTTCCATTAGCTGCGAAGATGATGGGTCAGATTATGAAGAACATTAGAAAAAATGAGATGGGAATCCAGACTCAATAATGCAATCATCCCAGAAAGCGTTGTTTGGTATCTTTGATTTTGACGTGTAGTCATCTACTCGCTGTATTCGATTTAGGGCCTGCTTGTTTCCTCTTAACTCTTATTTCAAGAGGAATCTTTTAATTTTAAGAGAAAATTGGTTGTTCGTTTTCTCTTATCTCTTAAAGTGCAATCATACAATTTCTTGTTTTCCAATGAAACCCTAAAAAAAGACAAACAAAAACTCTCATAGGTCAAAATGGATATTTGATAATTTTTATAATTCAAAACAGCATTCTCTTCATTTAGAGTTCAGAGGAAAGAAAAGTTTACCAATATCAATATACCTCTTAATGTAATTAGTGCACTTTCATATCTTAGACTTAAGAGCAAACGAACATGCCCTTAGTCTTTTTCTCCACCTTCAATATTCGATCTTTTAGTTGATGAGTGATAAGATTTTCTTTTTTTTTTTGGGTAAAATATAAAAACCTCTCCTCGAGTTTCATTTTAAGAAAAACCTCCCCTGAACTTTTGTAAAATTCAACACAAACCTCCCTTCTATCACAGGTAGAGATCAGAAACATTCCATGATGCATTATTTTTTCAAAATATCCATTTTACCCTAATCTAAAATTTTACTAAAATAATTCTGAAACTCATTTACCCTCCTCTTCCTCCTCTCTTTCAATCTCCCACCCCTAAACTCAACTCCATTGAGTCAAAAAGAGAGAGGAAGCATTCAGCCACTGTAAACTCCATGCGTCAAGAAGAGAGGAAGTTTTTTTGCTTTAACTCCACCTAACATGAAAGTGTTCTCAGGCATGAGCATGGTGGTAACATGATAGGGCATTTGCAGTCAGTGATCCCTGCTGCTACGAAAACATAGATGCCATACAAATCACATGTGGCAAAGACATCACACTAATTATGGACAGCTTGCCATACCGACTGCCATACGGTTCAGTGGTTCTACATTGAAAAGAGATGTAAGAGAAGTTAAAACGTAGATTAGTGATAGCACACTATAGTCAGAGAAGGTTAAGGTCCTTTGAGAAAATCTGGGATTTTGTTTTCTTTGTTGTTCATGGTATTGGAAGGTTAGAATTGATAAACCATGCAAAGATCATCTCAATGCAAATGAAACCTGTGGTAGAGACAATCACCTCACATGACTGAGGACTTCTGCAGCAAATAAAAAGATAATGAGGAGAGCATTTTGGATTAAAAAAAGATATCCAACAGTGAAAATGAAGAATTAATGTAACTAAACAATGCAATAAAGATGGCACACCTGCATTTGGATTTAAGAAGGAACAAAGGCTCTTAGAGCAATAGCAGGCCTTATCTTCCGGGAGTGGGTTTCTTCAGCTTTGGACATCCTCTTACTTCAAGGATAAGTAGAGATGGCAAAACTCCATCACAGATGCTCTTCAATAGTGGTAGCTCCCAAAGACGCAGTTTACATAAACTTGGAAGTCCACGTTCACCAGAAACTGTTTCTCTGAATATATATTCCAATTTATCACAGAACTTAATTTGAAGCGATTCAAGATTCTGTAAATGCAATGCAGATGAGAAGAGAGTGACAAGACTTGGACAGCAGTCTACATGCAAATGTTTCAAACTTGGAAGTCCGTATTCATAAGAAACTGTTTCTCCAAATATATATTCCAATTTATCACAGAACTTAATTTGGAGCAATTCAAGATTCTGTAACTGCAACGCTGATGAGAAGAGAGTAACAAGACTTGGACAGCAGTCTACGTGCAAATGTTTCAAGCATTTGAACTTCCATGGCTGTACATTTCCTCTGCTTATGCTCCTTAAGTTAGCAACATTACAGACCCATAGTTTCTGCAAGCTTCCAAAACCAGCAGCATCATCTTCTCTACCAACAACACAATCCATTCTATGGCATCTCTCTATCCAACATTCCTTAATTGACTGGATGTTCTCAGAACCCAAATCTGATAAACGTGTGATGAAGGTACTGTTCTTTAGAGATAAATGTTCTGTGACATTAAGGATCTCCTGGATCTTCTCTAGGACACTGCAAAAACCATGAATTCCAATGAGTTCTAGTATTCGGTTTGGAGGACAATGAGAACCTCTGTTCTTGTAGTAGATGTTGCGAAAATTGCTTCTTCGGAAATCTTGATCTTTATATCCATTTTGTTCTTTGCTAGCACAAACAGATAAATCAAATTGTTGGAGGCCTTCTGCTCTTCTGTTTAAAAACTGCAAAGAGTAAACATTGTTTACAGATATGCAAGGAGTTCCAGTTGGTAAGATGCTTTCATCCCATTTTACCTCTTCAGGTAACCGTACACTACTCTCTCTCCAAGCATCATCTAGGTTCAAGTCTGATAGATTGAGTCTCTTTAGACAAGTTAATCCTGAGATTTGATAAGGGAATTTTGTAATCTTGGTGCCTGAAAGATCAAGCATCTCAAGGTTGGTAAGTTTGGAAATGTCTGGTATGCTTTGAACTGATGTGCCAGAAAGGTTGAGTATTTGAAGTTGTTGCAAATAATTGAAGAGTTCCTCTTCTATTTTCTCTATACCACTATTATTTGAAAGATCAAGGTGATCAAGTTTGGTAAATTCTTTTAGATTTGGAAAAGTTGCCAGTGAACAATTATGTAATAACAGCTTTCTGAGGATCCCAGGGTTGGAAAAAGATGGCAAAGTTGCAATTTGAAGGTGCCTCGCATGATTAAAAGTGGTGCCATCCCCAACTTCATTTAAATATCTAGCACCTGAAAGGTCAAGTACCTCTAATTTTGTAAGCGGTTCAAGATTTAAAAATGATCTGAGGTTTGAACATTTTCTTAGGATGAGCTGACGAAGGATGCTAGGAAGCAATGGTAGACATTCAACTAGGGTGCAAGAGAGGTCTAGTATCTCAAGGTTTTGCAAACAGTCAAGAGATTGGACACTTCTCAGAGTAGTAGCACCCGAAAGATTAAGTACCTTGATTGCTGTAAGATCCTGCATGTCGGGAAGTATTGACAAGCTTGAACAACCTGTCAAAATGAGTTTCTGAAGCCAACCAAGCTGGGAAAGAGATGGTAGCTGTTGAATTGCAGTTCCGGAAAGGTTGAGTATTTGAAGGTGACTCACATGCTTAAAAATGGTGTCATCCCCAACTTCATTTAAATTTCTAGCCCCCGAAAGGTCAAGCACCTCTAATTTTCCAAGTGATTCAAGATTTGGAAATAATCTGAGTTTTGAACAATCTCTTAGGATGAGCTGACGAAGCATGCTAGGAAGCAATGGTAGACATTCAACCAGGGTTTTAGAAAGGTCTAGTATCTCAAGGTTTTGCAAACAGTTGAGAGATTGGACACTGCTCAGAGTAGTAGCACCCGAAAGATTAAGTACCTTGAGCGCTGTAAGAACCTGCATATAGGGAAGTATTGACAAGTTTGAACAACCTGTCAAAATTAGTTGCTGAAGCTGACAAAGCTGGGAGAGAGATGGTAGCTGTTGAATTGCAGTTCCAGAGAGGTTGAGTATTTGAAGGTGCCTCACATGCTTAAAAGTGGTGTCATCCCCAACTTCATTTAAATTCCTAGCACCCGAAAGGTCAAGCACCTCTAATTTTCCAAGTGGTTCAAGATTTGGAAATGTTTCTAAGCATGAACACCCCCTTAGAAAAAGCCGACGGAGGTCAGTGAGATTGGAGAGGGATTGTGGTAACCGTTTAAGCTTGGTTTCAGAAAGATCAAGCACTTTGATGTAATTCATGTTGCCAAAGAAATCATCCTGGATTTCCATCAAGGCCTTCGCACCTGAAAGGTCAAGTACCACTAATGCTTGGAGCCCTTGGATATGATTCACATCCTGAAGAGAATCACATTCTCTCAATTTAAGCACACGAATTTGCTGCAAGCTGGAAAGGGAAGATGGAAGAGATTTAGTTTGCATGTGGAAGAGGGCTAGAAAACGAAGGCCTTGCTTTTCCTGGAAGAATACATCTGGGTTTCCCCTTACAAGATGATTACTGTATCCTTTCAGAAGCAAAGAGGAGATCTTGGGAAATTCTCGACCACTGTCCAGTAATACAAATTTCTCAAAATCTTTCCACGTGACATCTTGCAGTGGCTCAGTTAAATCCAGACCAATTCTACCCATGACTGCACCATGTTCTCTCTTGATGATACATAGAGCTACTTTTCTTGCAATGCGATGCATGCTGACATGATCATCATTATCATCCCTTCTTTGAACCATGCCAGAATCTACAAGCACCTTGAGTGCATTATGTCCTTCTTTGTAAGCTTCCTCCAACCGATCAAATCTATCAAGAAGACCTTCCATTATCCAGTATGTTACCAACACATCAGAACGTATAAAATAGCCCTCAGGAATGAGCATTGCATAATACAAGAAGCAGTCTTTTACAAAATCACTTGGCAGCATCTGGTAACCCAATTCAAATAATTGTGAGTAGGAAATGCTGCTTCCTGTAAGAAATGCATCATTCAATGTCAATGTGCCTTTTAGACCTCTCAGGATTCTTGATATAACGACAATTGCCAAAGGTACACACTTGCATAATTGCACATAATTCTCAGCTTTGTTGCTGTCAATGTTCTTTTCATGGAACAAGCACAATGTATCATTAAAGGACAGGGGCTGCAAATGGTGTGTCCAATTAACCACATTTCCATCATTTTTTGGGGTATGAACAGGTATGCCAATTCCATTGGAACCATTTTTTTGGTCAGCATATGTCAATCCATCAAAGAGAACTCCTGAATCATCATTAGAGCAAGTTGTAGTGACCAAAATCTTCGATCCATTTTGGTGATCTGGGTATGGGATTCCCAATTGATCAAAGAGATTATGAACAGGCCAGTCTATATCATCCAAAATCAGCAAATACCTCTTTCCCTCAAGTGATTTAGCGATCTTTTGTGCCAAATTTTCCACACTGTTGTCTTCATCTTCTCTGCTTATGGATGTTAATGACAAATTCTCTGCAATCTTCTCTATCAACCTTAATCCACCACAACTTCCACCCACGTTAATCCAAATAATGATGTCAAAAAGGTTCTCCTTCTCTGCATATCTCATTATACATTGTGCCATCCATGTTTTCCCTATTCCTTCCATCCCTTTAAGTGTAACTGTTTCAGTGGTCTCATCTGTTAATTGTTCCAGTACTAGATATATTTCTTCACCACGTAACATAGTCTACACCTTTTTGTTATTCCAAATTCAGATATTGGAAAACCTCCAAAACCTGACCTAATGAGAAAAACCAAAGCTCAATTTTAGCTATAAAATGTTGTTAAGACCATCTGGGCCCTTGTAGTTCAAAAGACCAAGGGAAGAAAATCGCTTTGTCATATTAAATGGTCCAAAGTTCAGGATTTAAGCTCCAGACCTAGATAGGTAGATACTAAATTTTATGCACATTATAAATAATTATACATTAAATATAACATAGTTAAAGCCAGCCTGGGCCCATGTGGGGCTAGACCTGGGCTGTGCCCCTTATTATAGGTGCTAAGCCTGTCCTAGCCCATAACCACAACCAATATACATGCAGAATTCTGAATGGAAACTAAAATAGAAATTTCAATGGAGTAACTATGGATGAGATACTGCAAGTTTGGCAGTTGTAGACTTTACTCTCAGAAGACAGTGGATAGCTGCTAATAGGGTAGTCCTGGAGAATTTAAATTCCAAGATTTAAAATCATACATATGACATAATGTACAGGCAGGAATTCTGAATGGAAACAGTTGTAAATCACACCAGCAATAGATCTGAAATTAAATCAAAAGAAAAGAAAGAAAAAGAAGAAATAAGGAGAAGTTCAGAAGAAGAAAGAAGAGAGTGGATGAAAGAGGAAGAAAGAAGAGAGCTGATCGTTCCTCTCTTCAGTCGCTTAATTGTATTTTATTAGAGCTAATTACAATTAGGGTACAATTACAAGGATGCCCTTAGTAGGGCATCTGACTCAGTAATGTAATGAAAAAGATAAATAACAGACCCATAACAAAGGCCCACTGGCTCAGAAATAAAGACTACTAACAGAATAAATAAAAGAAAAGAACTAAGGCCCATTTAGCCAGTATCTATATAGAAACTTAAATATGTAAAGGAACTGTTCAACCTAAAAGCATAAGTTGTTAGGTGAGGTTCTTGAATTGGTTTCTACTCTCTAACACACCCCCTCATGCAGAATCCCATTGGGCTTGAAGCATGGACAAACACAGACCACCCATACCTTGTGCTGAAATTTGATTAATTGTAATGGGGGTGACAAGGATCGAACACTAGACTACTTGGTCAAACAGGCTTTGATATCTAGTAAAGGAACTGTTCAGCCTAAAAGCTTAAAGCTTAAGCTGTTAGGTGAGGTACCTGAATAGGTTTTTAATCTCTAACAAAATAGAAAATTCAAAAGGGTGGCTATGGTGTGATATACTGTGAGGTTGGCAGATAGTTGCGGACTTTACTCTCAGAGAAGATAGCATCAATTGATTGGATAGTCCTAGATGAAGGAAGAATCAAGTTAAATTTTGATGGCTGCTGTTTAGGCAATCCTGGAGCATCAGGTATTGGAGATACTTTGTGATCATGACGGAAATATTCTACAAAGCTTCTGTGGTCCATCTAGTGATGGTAATCCCCTCAAAGCAGAGCTTCTTGCCCTCTTACAAGGGCTAAAATTTGCATTTTCATCTGGCTGGAATAACATATTAGCAGAAGGGGACCTTCAAGTAGTCATAAAGTGGAAATCATCAAGGGAAGAAGTTTCTTAAACCTTAAGATTCTTGGTGAGATAAGTAAGAGAACTGGAAATCAATCTGAACTGCTTGTTTAGGTGGACTCCCAGAGTAGCAAACAGTACGGAAAATTCTCTAGCCATAGGCCCATAGCATGGGTCACAAGGAAGAACTTATTGTGGGGTGTACCGGGGCCAGGAGGAAATTTGTGAGAATACAAAGTGGTGAGGATGCAAGATGCTGTAGTATCATTCTCCACCTAGTTTTATCTATGGAGCTTTCCTTATTAATATAAATAAAATTTACTGTTGCTTATCAAAAAATTCCTTTCGATCCCTTGGAAATTGGAATATAACAAAGATCTTCCAAAGGAAAAAAAAAGGTGTTGAAAAACTGCCTTGGGTTGGGAGGGAGAAGATCAACTCTCTTATCCTCCCTTACCAAAAAAAAAAGAAACTCTCTTATCCTCAAGATAGATACAGATTGGCCATAGACTTGTTCTATGTACATGCTCTCTAAGGTTCTACGATTTTATTGATGTCCCAATGTTCCAATTTTACACTTTTCACACAAAGGACTACATAGTCTACACTATACACTCCTTTGAATTTGCTTAGATGGATAGTTATTTATATGCAATGGAAGCCTGGGCAAATGGGCAAGCATGTTAGACAACATTTGTTGGGGTCTTTCTTTATACACCTTAGGCTGATTTAAAATGCCCCAAAACAATAGGGTTTTCAAGTTAAAGGACCCTAATCCTGTATGGATGTTGACCCAGTTTTTGGGGCATAACAGGGGAAGATGGATATTTTCTCTCAGAAAGTTTGCCTCCTATGTCTAATCCTTCGTAACTCTAGTTTGTGGTGTAGATTATATGTACGAGGGGTTTATTAAACTAAATTCTGATGCAGATTTTTTTTTTGGTGACATCAAAAGGGGTTGCCTGTTGTTTACTTGTATCTTTGTGGCTGATGGATGGTGGATCTTTCATTGCAGCTTAAAGGAAATTCTTTAATACAAGTGAACTGGTGAAATGGATAAGTTATGGAGCATTGTTTTGCCAAATTTTGAAGTAGTTTTTATTCAAAAAAATTCTCAGAAAAGGGCTTATGTTGGACATGTGACAAGAATTTTGTGTTGCAATTTAACCCATGAATAGAGGGTTAGTACCCTAGTTCATTCCTATAGGCTACCTTCTCTTATAGAGGACTACATATTTCTTTGGGTACAATGCCAATGAAGTAGTTAGTAGCCTAGTTCATTCCTTTAAGCTACCTTCTCTTATAGAGGACTGCGTATTTCTTTGGGTAAAATACCAATACAATGTGGTAATGTAAGGTTGAAGTGCGATTAAGGACTAAACAAACTATAGTGACCAACCTACAAGGTCCCCAACCCACTTATCCAGTCAACAGTTTGGATTGGCAATACCATTTCCCTACGTGTAACAAATAGGCAGGTCATGTAGAGAAGGGCTCTAATCAATGAAGTTAGGATAACTTTTCTCTATACATCATAATAAAGCAATCCCGTTCAATACACTTCAATCAGGTCGGCGCTGACCTGAACCCCGAGTACCCTCATCTGGCTGGGGGTGCAAGTCCCAGATATTCAGGCCATTGGAAGGTGGAAGATAAAATGACTCATTCTTTCCTCTTGGGACCATTGGAAGAGAAATGCTAGCCACATGAATTGGTAATTAGCACAAGGTTGCCTTAACTACATCTGTTTCTGATTATGCAAGTACTTTTTTTTACTAACTCGCAGGAAGACTACATAAACCAACCCGTATGGGTATGGCTGGAACCTCACAGTTGCAACTGTCGATTCGAGTTGATTTTGAAGACCCATATCTATGGAAATCAGCTGTCTAATCTAGGAGACTACAGTTTATGGGTGATGGTGAAACAGGAACGGTCTCGTTGAGTAAATAGTGAGAATCCTACCATGTCTATTATTAGTTTAATCATATATTCAGACAACCAAGAAACTGCAAATTGTTCATATTCTTTGAGCCAACGAAAGATAAATTTTGAAGGGTTGTAACATGAGAGAGTTCCCATCTGATGACCAACATGGTTTATGCATACATAATTAAGTCCCTCATCGATTATTAGACTTTTCAGTCCATTGACTCAATGTGCCTTTCTATGGCCATTCGTCAAACATGTTAAGATCACAAAATGACTGAAGATATTGGACGCAGGAACGATCATTAAATAAAATGTGTGAGCTCTCAGCTCTGATGCGTTTGATATTCATTGTCTCAAACTCAATTCCATCTTTTGTAAAACCAAGAAAAAATAAATAGAAAACATAGTAAGGATGAACCTGCAGAGTATTGTGCAACGATAGGTTGCACAGCGAAGTTCTCCAAGTCGCGACGACGAAGCTGGTTCGGGACCTTCGGATGCCTCAGCCTCACTTCGAACAGATAGCAAAGATGCCGATCAGTCAAAGTCAATGGCATCCTTTACTGAACAGTTTACCGGTCAACAACTTAACATTGTCATTTTATATTTGCAACTTGTCGGAATGACAACGGGCGGGCAAGGGCAAGGGCATACCTCCTACCGTCCTACGGTCCTCCCCGACCCCGAGCTCACGTACCATACCCCGTACCCGCCCCGTTACCGGCGGGACCGGGTATCTGAATTTGGCCCGCCCCATTCCGACGGATTCGAAAAACTATATAGAACTTTGCACGAGGACAGACACTCCGAAAATTTGAACATAACCCGTGATCCATGATCAAGTAGATCAACAGCTCAACCACTCAAATCAAATGGGTTTTGATCAAATCAACAATTTTTAATCAAATCCCATGTTTAGAAAAAGAATTGAAAAGAAAAGAAAAAACTAAACCCGAAAATAGAGAATTGGGTGACACTTCAAACAGTTCAGCCAAGCAGATCAACAACCGGTTGAAAACATTGCTATCAAGTGGATACGGATTTATTGGATAAGCCAAACTACATTGGGTTCTTCACTATGAAATCTTATGGTTCGTTCTGAGGCCGAATTTGATCTCACAAAAGTGTGTTTACACAGTCCCATTTACAACCGTGCATTGAGAATATCTATGAGGACAGTCTTTTGAGGATCAAATCCTAATTTTTTTTTGTGAAGGGATCACATCCTAATTCGTCTTACCCATATTCTGGCCGTTTCCATAATGTACCAAGTGTTTATTAATCGGGTTTTTTACAAAATAAATAAGGCATTATAGCAGATAAGGGCAACTTTTGGGCCCTAATATCAATAAAAGTATTATTTAAAAAGAAATTCAAAAATAGGTTAACTTTTTAAAAATAATATCAATTAAGGGCAAAAACATTATTCATCTTCTTCCTCTTGCAATCCATTCATCCACGCCGTTGTCCACTGTCGCCTCCGACAATGCTTCCGCCTACCTCCACCTTCGCCTCAAGCAAAGCTATCAGAGGCGGGCGGAGGCAGAGGTGGCGGTGGCGGCACTGGTGGTCATTCCTCAGCCCAACGCTGCCACCTCCGCCCACCTTTGCCTCCGCCTTTGACAACATTGCCGGAGGTGGGTGGAGGCAGAGGCAGCGGCAACGCTGGTGGGCGGAGGTGGCAGTATTGGATAGAGGAATGACCACTAGTGCCGTTGCCGGAGGCGGGCAACGATGGTGCTGATGAATGGATTGCAAGAGGAATAAGATGAACAACGTTTTTGCCCTTAATTGATATTATTTTTAAAAAGTTAACTTATTTTTGAATTTTTTATTGATATTAGGGCCCTAAAGTTGCCCTTATCTGTTATAAACTTAGTTTTAATAAATAACAGATTCAATGATGTTTTGAATTTGATCGATTTTCAAAAATAAAAAAAGGGTAAAATATAAAAACCTCCTTGAGGTTTTTGACAATCATAAATCTCTCCTCAATTTCACGTTAACACAAACTTCCCCTAAACTTTTGGAAAACTCGACACAAATCTCCCTTCCATCATTGACTTAGACAAAAAAGTTCCACCGATGCATTATTTTTTCATAATATCCATTTTACCCTTTTATTTTACATAAAATTTGATAAAAATAATTCTAAAAGAAACTTTACTTTCTCCTCTTTCAATCCCCCACCCCAAAAATCCATCAACTCAAGAACTGGAAGAAGCATTTAGCCATTGTAAACTTCATTGTAATAGAAAGTGGGCTAAGGATGAGAATGGCGGTATTTCGAGTCTAATCTGTCAAGCCAACTGTCCCATTCTGCCACATTGGAACATGGGTGACTTCGAGGAAGAAAACACTCTCGTCTTCCTTTCCTGCATCGACATCGTTTGTGTTAACAATCATGAGCAAATAAGGTTCGGATGAAAAAGTTAACTTAGGGCTTCTTTTAGAAGAGAAGACACGATATTGTTTAGGTCTATCAAATTGGTGATCTTCAAAAAGAGAGAAAACATTAAGTTTCTATTTATCTTGATTCCTGGATCCTATTCTTCTTCCATTACATTCACTTAAATTTGATGTTTACAAACAATATCAAACTCATATTTGAGGATCCAATGTATTCTATCGTCACAAGAATATTTTAAAGGATTATGGTAAGATAACCTTCCAGTCAGCAGTTTTATCTTGATTGTATATGGTTTTATCGAATTCATTGCCAATCATCTAACTAGCCACATATTTCCTATATGTGCAATTATCAAGTGGAAGGGTGTGGTTTGTTAGATAGATCAAAGGATTTAAATTGCCACCGCTAAAATTAGAGACATTGGTAGGTGACCCATGAGCGTAGCAACCATGATTCTGAAATTTGGAGAAGGTCTGAATATTGAAGCCAAAGGGTTTGTCATTGAGGAGACAAGGTTCAAAGGAACAAATATTTTAAGACCATAATTTATATGTTGGTCAAACACTCTGAGCTGCTAATTTAACAGAAACTGGTGTCAAGTTACTACAATTTCTCCATGGATGTCTCAGGTGAGTTGAAACTGAAATGGGAAAGCAATGTTCATTATTGGATAGGTGTGAGTCCTGTTTCAGCTATTTAAGCCACCCTCACCTCTAATATATATATATATATATATATATATATATATATATATATATTAGATTTGCGTTCTTACTTTCGTATTCTTCAAACTACTTATGGATAATTATTGCAAGCATAGTACATTTAACATCAATTATCAATGACCATCGTCCGGTTAATCTCCATCCTTTAGGGCTGCATTTGGTTGAGGTGTAAATCGTGATTGAGTGCAAAATTTAGTTTTAAATTACAATTTGTGTTCCTATTTGATATAAAATTTATATTCTTTTGTCTATTTTGCAAGGTTTAAAAATCCTGATATACATGGCATAAACTTGCATATTGGATGTTTCAAAGACAAACAACTCTTTTTTTTTTTTCTTTCAAAATTTATAAGGTTTTGGTCTTAGGCCTAGGCCTAGATGTGTAGCTACCCGCTTATCAAACCCCTAGCCCTAATAAGGACCTTTACTTGGCATATCTGTACCTCAAAGATTAAGACGGGAGCACATCCTATTAATACTTTGAACTTTGCATTTTTGCATTTACTTTATATCCCAAAACCACTTTCCACCTACCTCATTTATTTCTCATATAAAATGAGAACCACATCATCTTACTCCTAAATAGAACCTTCCTCCTACCTCCATCCTATTTTATTTAAAGTAGAGGCAACTTCATTACTTTCTATTTTTTCTCACAGAAATTAATGACAGTCAAATAGACAAGTCTGAAACAAAAGTAAATCAGAATTTACACTCAGCCTTTTATATGATATGTCTGATGAAGAGGAAAATGTCATTGATAGCATTCAACACAATAAGTATTTTACAAAAATTAGATATATAGCCTCTTTTAACAGTTTTGATGACATTTTAAAATATTTGAATTTTACTTTATAGGAAATATAAGAGAAATTTGGGATTTTGGACTTCCTACTGAAGTCCTAGAAAGTGGAGTACCCTTCTCTCTTACCTCCGGCATATCCAACCACTACTTGAATAAGGTTGGTGGCTCTTGGTAAACGAGGTGAGGCCTCAACAACATACCCAAGACTTGTCTTGAGGTATATGGGCAGCCCGACCCAACTGAGGTTCCCTTACACCCCTTAGGAGCCTATAGAAACAAACCCAAACCCTTGCATGTAGAGCCCTAGCAACTACCCTTAGGAGTCTCAACTAGGCATTTTAGCACATTGGTAGGTATCTGCATTTGCCTTTTACTTGCACTTAGTTTTTGTTGTCTAGCATCTTTCTTTTTGTTGCATTTGTATTCTTGTTTTTGTCATACTTAAGCAAGCAGGTAGGAGCAATTGCAGGCCCACTCAGGTACAATTCTTCTTTTTCTTTCAAATAAAATCCTACACAACCCAAAACCATGATTACAACCCAAGGTCAACCTAACCCAAGTATGGACTTCTCACAATACCTAAGGGTTATTGAATAGATGTACCAGAACCATATGGAAAAATTGCAAATTCAAATAGATCTGTTCAAGAGTAAAGTCAAATAGCTTCGACCCAATGATCAGGCCCAACCCAACCAAGGGAAATGCATTTAGACCCAACCATCGTGGGCCACATCTATGCTAGTCCAACCCAACCAAGGGCTATACAACCAAGCTCGCACTTCATGGTCCCCATGCTTCCCAATTCAGCTCAATCAAGGGCAAATCACTTAATCCCAACCATCATAGACCACATCTATGCCAATTCAACCAAACCAGGGTCAAATCACTCAAGCCCAACCATCATGGGCCACATCTATGCCAGTCCAGTTCAACCAAGTGTAGTACAATCAAAGCCAACCATTGTGGGCCACATCTATGCCAGTTCAGCCCAACCAGGGGCAAAATACACAAGCTCAACCATCATGGACCCCAGCTCAGCCCAATCAAGGGCAATACAGTCAAACTCAACTTTCTCAAACCCCATCAATGCTAATTCAGCCCATTTAAGGCCATCCAAGGCAAGCCCAGCCATCACAAGCCACAATTCCAATGCAACCCATCCAAGGGTATTCTTGTCCAACCCATCCCTCACCAATGCCAGTCCAGTCAAGCCAAACCCAGTTCAATAAAGCCCAAGTCCCAATACAAGGGGCAACAATAGCCCAACCAATCCAGACCCAAACACCCTGGTCCTTTACTCCAACACATCCACTAACCCAAAATTCCATGCAAGGGGCAACCTTCTTACTTGTGACCCCAATCGACACAGGGTTGGACCAACAATTACACTGCATAGAGCAAAGGCTAAGCAAGTTGCAAGGCAACAACCATGGCTTAGCAGACCTTGACTTGACTACTGGACATAGGCTACCTCCAGGATTTAAGTGGCCTGACATGGACAAATATTATGGGACAGGATGCCCAAGGGCCCACATCAGAATGTATCAACAAATACTAAGGCCCATGGGCTTAACTGATGAGATTCTAGTCCAATCATTCTTAAGGAGCCTAACTGGAGATGTTGCAACTTGGTTAATGAACACCAACCCTAACCTAGTGAAGACTTGGCCAAGTCTAGTTGATACATTTGTCAACCACTTCTTGTATAACACAAGCATCCTATTGTCAAGGCGTAAACTAGAATTGGTCAAGTAGGGGCCAGAAGAATCATTCACAAACTTCATAACTATGTGAAGGGCCCAAGCAACACAGGTCCTTAAGAGGCCTAGTGAGGAGGACCAAATTTTAATGGTCTTAAAGAGCTTGAATAAAGAATATG